ATCTTTTAGCGAACATTACCTGTATTGAACAGCATCAACTCAGTCGGTTAGCTTTGGGGAAAATTGTGCAAAGTTCTTTGCATTTTGCCGGTTTGCTGCCATGATTCTAACTCACACCAGAGTGACTCTGCACAGCAGCAGCAGGTCTCCTTTGCTGCCGCACAGGTGCAGAGCACGAGCGTCTTAGCGCTCATGTAGCGTTTAGATTTGACTCGGAAAAATAGGGTACGACTTGTTAAAAACGGATTAAACAGTTTTGACAGAAGGCACAGATGTGCGAAGTGCGGAAACCCCCTACTGTATCAAATCAATATAGGAATAACAGAGAGTTGGCCATTCTAAGGCAAAAACAACAAAGTCCAGGGGGGGCAATGCCCTCCAAAGCCCCCCAATGCCGCCGGGCCTGCCGGATGCTAAATGCTTAGAGTAGCAGAGTAAAAAGGACTCTGCCTTATGTTTTTATTAGCTTAGCTTATTCTTTGATTACATAGAGGACTCTTAGACGATGCATGTGTTTATTCATGCACGAGCAGGTTTCAAATGCTTGGTTTAGAATTGCTCACTGTACACACTTAAACCGTACTTTATATATTAGGAAAATGTTGCAAGCAGAAGTTACACACGATCATCTGAAGGGTAAAGGAGAGAAGAGGTTATATGTAACACTCTTAAGCCTAGAATACTTCAGATTGTCCCTGAAAAAAAAAAGTACAGGGAGTTAGGGGGGTTACTGTTCCAAGAGAGGATTTATTTGACTTTTTCTATGCAACAAAGAACAAAAGGTTCAATTAATTGTCTGATTATAATTGCCCTGGATTTCCCTTAGCCAATTACAGGCTTTACCAAGGTTCTGCGCAGCAGCAAATCAGCAAGCAGTGGGCAGTTTTTAAGGCAGGTACCAAGAGCTGAAATTACACAAGTGTCTCCAGAGAAACGTCATTTTATTCAGGTTTTAAGGAGCAGCTCGCCTCAGCCAGTGACCTGACGAAACTTATAGACTTTACAGCAGCACAGTAATGAGATGCTAGTGGTTTTAGTTCCCTTTGCTCAAACTATTTTTATTTTTCAGTTTATTAAATTGTGACTAATACATCTATTACACAAGGGTTGGTGAAAGTAGTTGATCTACAAAGAGCTACAGTACTAGTCAGAAAGGTCAGAAATAAAGGGCATCTGATAATAATTTTGGTTTTGGAAGTAACTTATTTGAGGGGTTTCTGAAAAGTTACATTTTATGATTTAAAATAGTTCCAGCTATTATGCAAGCTTTACAAACTTGGCCAAGAAAAGCAAAGATTTCTGCCAGAATTTGCTTGTTTGATAGTCCTGGGTGTAGATAAGGGAAGATCCACCATAACTTTAAACTTGTGCATTGAATTCTTATTTTTAAAATGCTTTGAAAATGTTAAAATTAGGGTGATGGCAATGAGCCCTTTCAATTTCAAAGACTTGGAGTTCATCACCAAGATAAGTCATTATGGAAGCATTCAAAAACCAGGTCAGAAATTATTTTAGATTTTTTAGAAGGAAAACCCATTTAAATAAGTACACAAGATCTTATTTTCAAAACTGATGCTACTTTTATGTTGTTTTATGAGCTTTTAAGAGATGCCTGTCTCGTTACTTATCACAAACAAACTCCTTTGTTGAAAGAAAATCAAATAAAATCTTACACCAGATAAAATTTGCTTGATAAATTAGTGATATCAAACAGTTACTGCAAATTCTGCTGTTTGATGCAGAATCACTGGATTCTGCTTTTGTCCTTTAAATTGGACTGCATATTGCCTGCAGTCATGTGATCTTATTGTTTGGTTTGCTCAGACATCATAATGAAACTGCCCCCCCTGAGGTGAGTTGAGGCTTGTTGCAACATCAGAGCTGCAGTGTTGTTATCAGGCCCAGCTAGATCTGTGCAGATTTACGCAGCTCATCTCTTAGTGGACTTTTCCTGCTCCAGCAAGGCAGTCAGTTTTAGAGAACGTGAACAATTGAACTGATTCAGGATGTCTGGAAGAGACGACACTCTCATTAGACTTGCTTACGACTTTGCTGCATGAACAGCGGATATTACATTTATTTCAATACAAAGGTTCCTCTAACATTGTCCAGATTTGATTAAAGTGGACTTCTTCAGACAGCCCAGTTTTATCAGAGAATGCTTTGGTAAACATCAGCCATATGAGAAGAAGAATAAACCCAACACTGCTGGGAATAAGACACCAACCAATGAGCCAACTACACAAAAAAGACTGTTTGTTTTTGTTATATTTTATATTGTTCATGATGAAAGATCTTAACTGCCATTGTTTTGATGTTGAAACAAAAATCTGGCTGCACCTTTACTTTCTTCAGCTGACATTTAAGACTTTTATTTTTAATTATAGCTAATACTTTTGTAAAAAACGAATAGTACAAGTTGAAGTCCTTTCAGTATTTCCTACTTATATTAGTATGAAACATGATGCACATTATAAAATTGTGCAGAAAAAAGCATCACAGGTAAATGAAAATATTAAAATGAAGCTTTTTTGATTTGTGGAGCATAAATGGACTCACTGATAAATTTATGTTTTATATGGTTGTTTAAAATGAAGCTTGTTTGTTTTAGGGGTTTTTCATTGTTTTTATGTAAAATGTTTATATCTCTGCAAATCAAATTTGTCCTTATTTTTTTATATAAAAAAGTGAATTTTTTTCACTGAAGTCCTTCAGTTAAGCGAATAAAGAGCCTGTTTTTGATGGTTTCATAAAAGCCTGCAATAATATGCACATCTCTACTTGACTTGAAAGCTGTGATGGGAAATTTCATGTTTAGATTTTCAACATGTTTGTTTCTCACACGCATCAGTGATTTTGTTGTTCAAAGACACAACAAAGCTGATATACAGTGTTGAGATTAGAGAACATAACCAAGGGGTTCTGAACATATTATCAAAAGTAATTAGTTTAGATTATTTCAAAGTAAAAGTTGGGGGAGAGAGAAGCCTTAGTAGACCTGTCTCCAGTGTTTATAACTTTTCTCCGATGGCGTGACTGCAGCCTGTCCCACGCGAGGCAACATTTTCTGCTCAGACAGACGTAGGTCTGTGTGCCGCCACAATCATTACTTGTGGCAGTTTTTCACAATCTGATCTTCGGCTCAGTCTTCCATACACACCTCTGCAGAGGATATTTTTTCTGCTTTGGCTGAAATCCTATACTGATAGAGTCGGACAGTTCAGCAGCGAAAAGCTCTGTCAACATCCTGCAAGAAAAGAGAGAACAGACCATTTTCTACCGTGGTTTTAAATGCAAACATACTGTATCACATTAGAAGGGATTTGCAAAGCTTAAAATAAGAACTCCCTTAATTGAGGTCCATTTTTATACTTGCTTAAGTTTTTGTCAGATTTTAAATAAAGTCATCATTGAATTATCATTTGAGTCCACGGTGCTGCTGCACAAATAGCTTTTGCAAATAAAAGGATCTATTTGTCTTATTGTACAAGCTGTTCAGTTTCCTCTAAAATAAACTGAAACAGCTGCAGTTTGGACGCTAATAGTTAGAGTGTATGTCCCAGTCTATTGTTATTACTGCAGTATAGTAAATCATAACAGATTTTACTGACTGACGGTTTCAAGGGAAAGATGAAGTGAAGATAAGGTATTTTCAGTGGTTTTGTTGAGAAATTTTGAGGAATAAACAAAGAACCTCTCCTGCACAATGTTGTGTTTTTCACACAGACTCTTTATAACCTTTATTTACCAAAAGCAGCCAGCGAAGCAGCAAGCGAAGCACCTTGCCTGCTAAAAGAAGAAACATTCCCCACATGCACTGGCCTCTTTACACCGTCTCCTTCTCATTTCAGTATCCAGTTCAATGTTTTATCACTTGTTTTCATAATATCTTGAGAAAGTCTGGGTATTATGCTTTAGGAATAAACTGGAATCATCTGATTTGACTGAGTAAGAAAAGCCTGCTGAAGACTTCATGGAGCTCAACTTAATGCTCTGACTTTCCAATGATATTATCGCATACATTTGAAAAAAGATATTTACATACAAGGGGTGAAGAGACAATTGTTTCCATTCTCTCTCGGACATTAAATCAGATTAAACTTTTCACTTTTAGGTCAGTTCGAATGACCATTTTTAAAATTTTCTAGATGTGATAAAAGCAGTTTTGCATATATTTTGTCAATTTTTTGGGAATTAGCTATTAAACTACTGATTCGTTCAGACATTTTTGTTGCCCTTCTGTAAGATTCTCACAGGAGTTTGCTGAAACTTTGCCTCTTTTCTCCTGACAGAGCTGGTGTCAATCAGTCAGGTTTGATGGCACGACTTTTGAGCTTCGACCAAAACTTCCATCTAACTGAAATCTAGTTTTTTTTTAATGGACTCATTAAAACGACTTTTTGGTTCTTTAGCTATTTTGAAAATAATTTGGTGGAACAGTAAGGGTCATTGCCCATTGGAGGAGCCATTTGTCCCCAAGCCTCACCTTCCTGGCTTTTATTCAGATGTTTCTTCTGTGTTTTTCATATCATATCGTCTCCCTTATGATGGCATCTACAGTCTGTGTAGTGCACCGATGTTCTCATTCTCAAATGTATCTTTGGTCATGACGGATTACAAAAACTTTAATTTTAATAGCACGCAGGAAATGTCTTTGAAAATCACAGACTTTGTTCCTGGATGTATTTGTATTTTCATCAGCTTCTGCCTGTTTGTTACTGTCTCATATGCTTGGGAAATGTAGCCTTGATGAGAGAAAAACATTAATCTTTGACTCCCTATTATAACTTTCTGTTTGCAGACTCTGAAAATAAATCTGTTTGGAGGGGTGACCTTTCTGCAGTATTAGTGTCAGGTTTAATTTGCTGGCACTGATAATCATAGACAGCTCCACAAAGCCCCAGTTTAACTCAATCAATGTAAAGTGGCATTTTTTTTTTGTTGCCATTTTTGCTAATCTGTTAATTTTTTCAACGTCGTCTCCCTCTGTTTTTTTGCAGGCTGCTTCTCATCCAAGGCAGAGGACAGATTATTCCGAAGGTTGTTCCGAAGATACAACCAGTTCATCCGACCTGTGGAAAATGTGTCTGATCCAGTTACGGTGGAGTTTGAAGTGTCCATATCACAGCTTGTTAAAGTGGTGAGAACGCAGAATCAGCCATACATCGGCTCTTTCATCTATCATAAATTATTTGTTCAGCATTTATATTCTTTCTGTAGGATGAGGTGAATCAAATTATGGAAACTAACCTGTGGCTGAGACATGTAAGTGCTGCTGTTCTTCGCTATGTGTTGTGCTGTTTATTTCTCATTTTTAATCTACATGTGCAGCTGGGTAAAAAATGTCATGTGTAATACCTGTCATTTAATTCAAGTTTATTAATCATAAAACTCAAAGTAAGATTTAATGCTTCAATATTCGCGGAGAAAAATCGATGTGTTCTGAGGAAAAAAAGTATAGATAATTATTATAGAATAAAAAAAAATACACAGCCCTGATGTCAAGTATTTCTGTTTTACTATCCTTCAGGTTTGGAACGACTATAAACTGAAATGGACCCCCGTCGAATACGACGGCATCGAGTACATACGAATTCCATCCAACAAAATCTGGAGGCCGGATATTGTCTTATACAACAAGTATGTTGTGATAAACAGATGATGCTATTTATGTTAAATTGTGTCTGTTTGAAATTCTGTTATAAAACCTGCTAAGCCTTAAACACAGAGCAATAAAAGACGTCAGAATAAAAAACAGGCTAAGCATTACACACTTTTTGTTTGAGACTGGATGGTATTTTTTCTTACTTATGTTTGCCACAATGCCAGTTGTTGGCTCAAAATCCTCTGACGTGTAGAGTGAATGTAATAACCTCAGAAATGTTCTCCCACAGTGCTGTTGGTGACTTCCTTGTAGAAGACAAGACCAAAGCGTTGCTGAAGTTTGATGGCACTATCACTTGGGTCCCCCCAGCTATATTCAAATCCTCCTGCCCAATGGACATCACTTACTTCCCCTTTGACTACCAGAACTGCTCCATGAAGTTTGGGTCCTGGACATATGACAAAGCAAAGATCGACTTGGTGCTCATTGGCTCAAAGGTCAGAAATGAAAAAAAGAAAACAAAAATCTTGGATATGTATATTGCGTTTTGTGTTAATAGAGAGATTATGTTGTTATTCAGCAGATTTAACATGACGATTTTTATTGTATCAATATTTGTTTATTTGTGACACATATGAAACACAAAAATACCCTTGAACATTTCTAATATAGAGCTTCTTTTGAAATGTATATTTTCCAGGTGAACCTGAAAGACTTCTGGGAAAGTGGGGAGTGGGAGATTATTGATGCACCTGGATACAAACATGACATTAAGTATAACTGCTGTGAGGAAATCTACCCAGACATCACCTACTCCTTCTACATCCGCCGCCTGCCTCTTTTCTACACAATAAATCTCATCATCCCTTGCCTCCTCATCTCCTTCCTCACGGTGCTGGTTTTCTATCTCCCGTCAGACTGCGGGGAGAAGGTCACCCTGTGCATCTCCGTCCTGCTCTCCCTCACCGTGTTCCTGCTGGTCATCACTGAAACCATCCCCTCCACGTCGCTCGTCATCCCGCTGATTGGAGAGTATCTTCTCTTTACCATGATTTTTGTGACTCTGAGTATCGTCATTACCGTCTTTGTGCTGAATGTCCACTACCGTACTCCAATGACTCACACGATGCCGGAGTGGGTGAGGATGGTGTTCCTCGGGGTGCTGCCCAGAGTGATGCTGATGAGACGGCCGATTGACCAGGGCTGCTCATCACCCGCCAGAATTACAGGAGCGACAGGAGGCGGAGTCACCGGCGGGGGTATGAAGAAGAGAAAGACCAGCATAGGAGGAGGAAGCAGCTCTGGAAGTGTAAGTGTGGGAGGCATAACTGGAGGCATGGCATGCCCACCGCTGGAAAGTGGTTCAGGGGGAGGCGGGACCTCCTCGGCTGGTGGCTCCATGAACTGTGTGGAATATGGCGACGTGAACCGTGACCTCAACCGCGACATGACTAGGAGGTGTCCCTACAGAGGCAAGGAGGTGCCAACTCCTGTTCCTCCACCTCCTCCCCAGGCAAAACCGGCTCAGGGGCCTCCGGAGGCGGAGCCACCGAAGGCGGCGAGGCCTCTGAAAGCCTCGTCGCCTGTCAATGCTGTTGTTGCTTTTTCTGTGGTGTCGCCGGAGATCAAGCAGGCCATCGAGAGCGTGAAATACATCGCAGAGAACATGAGGACACGCAACAAAGCCAAGGAGGTACATAACCAAGCATTTAGTTCGGCATGTGTGTTGATTATTTATATTATATTAAGTTTCTAATCCTAGTTAGATTCAGAATTTCTCTCTGGAGAAGACCTAATGAGACTGTAAAATAGTATGCAGTAGCTGCCTGTTAAGTCGTGTAGAGTGAGAAAAGGCCTCTGGGCGATGGTTGAAAGTTGATGCTTTAAAGTAATGCTGCACAGATTTTATGTAAGAAACCAATAATAATAAATGAATAATTTGCATAATATAAAATCCATAATAAATCTACTTAGACCAAGTCCAATATTTGGATATATATGTTTTTCCAGTCAAGTGTTAAGCTCTTAAATAAGTGCTCAAGTATTTAACTTTTTGTGGATTTCTGTCTTAAATGCAAGCAGTTTTACAGCTTTCTCAAACTGCTTCATAAATATTATAGTGACTTACTATCCTATAAGATAAGAAAATATCATGGCCTTTCTGACGTTTTCTGGTGGAATGAACAATTCTGTGTAAGCTACTGTTTCTTCAATTTTGGATTTACTGTTTTCTTGTGAAATGAGAGTAAAAAGTGAAAAAGAAACAGAAGGGGTGAGATTTTTCGTCTGCCAAGAACAAGCCTTTTTAATCCTATAGTGACTGAGGTGACGTGTGTGATGCTAAAGGCTGTAACTAATGACTCGACATAAAAGTATAAATATTTTCTGATAGAAATTATAAAGAAGTGGCATTAGGTGAGCTTGCTTGCTCATTGATCCGGTACTTGATGCCTCATTTGTCGGAACTGAAAATACAAAAAGTCAGATCTCTGAAAAATTGTTGCTAAATTATTTCATGTTATACAACAAAGATCAAGTTTTCAAACATGAAGAAGAATGTGATCTCTAAATAAAATAACAAGTTATCACCTAATCCTTTATTCATGATAGTGTTTCTTAAGGGGAATAAAATAAATAGATATAATTTGTCCTTTTACCATATTCTTACTGAACTGTTATCATCGCAGCATACTGTATATAAATTCATACATGCACTGATTTACTGTCCTTAATCTGTTCAATATTGTTTTGCGACCAAATATCTTTACATTTAAGAAACAAAGTTTTGTTCTCACAGTTTGCACAACAAATGCCTGCTCATATAAAAGTGTGTGTTACTTCTGCGTGGTTAGTTAAATTATACTTTCCTTTGTAAACACTGCAGAATGCATTTTCCATCTTCTATATTTGGACCTTAAAGCTGCTTGTTTGTTCCAGGGTTTTGTGCACGTCGTCCTCACATTCTGGATAGTCCTGATATCTTTGTTGCGTCGCCCTCATCCTTCCTCAGCAGCACGCATCTTTCTTCGAGGCTTGGAGAATAGTTAAACTGCTTCCTCAAAATACATAATAGCATTATGGTCACTGGATAATCATAATCTTATTTTGCACACCTGAAAAACCAGATATAGCACCAGGAAAATGTGCTTGGCTCTAAAACACTTTCCAACCAACAAACAAGCTAAAAAGTAAAGATATTCCAGAAATATTTTTTGTTTCACATTTTCTGCTGCCAACACTTTCTCCGTAAGCCTTTTATTAAGCTTAAGTAGTTTTTTTTTCCTTTTTATTTACCTCACACGTTTCTTGTGAAATCCATGAATTGGAAGTAAACTTTTTTTCTTGACTGCATCTGCTTTAAATTCTAGTTTCCACACATTGCATGATGTCCTTTTTGTTCTCTCTTCAGGTGGAGGATGACTGGAAGTACGTTGCCATGGTCATCGACAGGATTTTCCTGTGGGTTTTTGTGACAGTGTGTGTGCTGGGAACTCTGGGACTTTTCCTCCAGCCACTTATAAGCTTCTTCAAATGAAGAACCTATCTTGCCTCTCTTTTCCCCCCTGCTGTACTTGTCTTCCTGATAATTTCTTTACACCTTACTTGAGTTACTCCAGGAAATATCCTGCACTTAGCGGTGTCAAATCAAGCACAAGACCATAGTTGTTCTCTTTTTTTAGGCTGTTGTCACTTCCTCTCTCTGTGTCTCGGGTGCCATCATCAACCATCCTATTTAACTCTCTTCTGTAGATTTCCCTAGTCTGAAACACATCTCTTTATTCCTCATCTATTTGCCCTTTCAGCTGCCAATTCAATGCTATAGCAATGCTGCTATCTTGTTTCCCTCCCAGTATCACATATTTTCTGAAACCTGATTTTCTCGTCGTCTCCTTTCTGTTTATTTATTTATTTATTTATTTATTTATTTATTTATTTATTTATTTATTTATTTATTTATTTATTTATTTATACCTCTCCAGTGTTTTACTTTGAGCTTCCACTGGAGGCATCTTTCCACTGTCACTCCTTGGAGCAGCAGCTTGTATGTCACTTTCCGAGAACTCTTTGGAAACACATTTCAGTTAAAAGAAGAAAAGGAAAATTACTTAAGTTGTTGTAGGCCAGTTCAGTAAACCACAATCTGGTCCAATAATGACACTGAGTTGGGAATTATAGCACAAAATGCTCTTTTCTGGATATAATAATGACATAGATGTGTTTTCTGATAGAAGTTAATGATCTGTTTATCTATGTTTTCCTTGTAGAGAAAAACAAAAACATAGTGCATGCTGGCCTTTAACCTTTAATGATGACATGTTTTCCAGTATATTTAAATGCACAAAATATGAATTCAGGACAGGAGTTTGCAATGTATGGAGGCACTTTCAACCACAAAATGTACAATTAAACCTGTAAAATGACTTGAAACAATAGAAATGTTTAATAAAAAATATTATAGTAGTAACATTTTATGTTTTTGGTTTTCATTATTGTATTTCCTTCTATCTTTTTTGTTATATTCAAATAGCATGCATAGCTCGTAAAGCTGCTGAATTTTTTCTTTCGTGTATCTACTGTGACTCTTATTTTTACAGATCTATGCCCAAAAATATCTCCGAACAGAAAGAAACATTTGACCAACTTAATATAAAATAAGACAGTTTTCAGTCTTCTTTTGCAGATGGTTGCAAGGTGATTTTGATTTATTGAAGTTTTCTTCATCACATATTTGATCTGAGTAGCTGCAAGCTGGATTCCATCATGAAAATCTTCCTCTGAATTTTCAAACTAGAATCACTTTGTCTTTTTATTTTTAAGGGTTTTTGGTTTGTAGGCTCTTGTGGCCTTTGACAGATGTGAGACAGTAAAGCGGGTTGTGTGAGAGAGGAAGAACATGGGGCAAAGGCCATCAAATCGGTGACGGTCGTGTCGAGGAATAAGGCCTCGACACAAGGGTGGCACTGTAACTGGTGCCCCACGCTGCACCCGAAGTGTCTGCTTTGTTTTGTCAATGTTGAAATTGTGATATTTTTATTCATTGAGTTTGAAATTTTGCATCTGTAGTGACAAACATACTTTCAGAGCATAATCCAAGTGAGCATGTTCAAATGATGATTATTGTAGGAACTTCTGTGGGGACTGTTCCCAGAAAACTCCCTGGTAAAGAAAAGAGGTAAGTTCATCGTGGAATATAAAAGACACAGAATCACATCAATTATTGTGCATCTGGAAGTTGCTTTATTATTCAACTGCACACATTTAAAGGTCACTCATGAGACTAAATGTGGCTGTCAGTTCTACCAGGTACGTACACACGAATGTGTTCAATGTTTAGAGCAGCAACAGCTCAACGTGTCAGTGAAGTAGAGTCACTGTGGCTTTGAGTAGCCCATCTCATGCCTCTGAACAGCTCAACAGTTCAGATTAATCCCGACTTGAGTCAGTGAGCATGCACATATGTGTTCTTGCACATGTGTTAGTTGGGGAGGGGAACAAAAAAGGCTGCACGTGTCTCCGGAAGATGTAAGAGTAGTTGAGACGGTGACAGAGCTAAAGCACGTCAGTTCCTGTGCGTGCCTGGTAGCGTGAGTCTCACTGAAGTCGGATTAAGGGATGGATGGAGGCTGAATATGGAGATGAAGGGGGAGCTGTGGTACAGACACACACAGTAACCAATCTGTCTCAGTCTTCAGCCTGACAGTTACATCATCTTCTGCCTGTGACAGATTGAGGATGTCAATTAAAGATCCACCAGCTTTTCAATCTATATTTGGACTGAAGCTGTCTGATGCGTGGTACACTAACAGGCTCTAGTCACTGCAATGCTTCTCAAACTAATAACATAGAAAGAGAAAAAGTAAACAAGCGGGACATTTCTGTGCTCTTTTATCCCTCTTCTCATAATTAACCCTCCTATTGCTTCAGGACAACTTTTTTACTTTGATTTCAGCAACAGAATGGAAGAAAGACTCAGAAATCAGCAACTTCAAGACAGCTTGGGCCACTTAATCTGAATTTGAAATGGTTTTACTTTCATATTTAAAAAGCAGGCAGATCTTTGATTCATTGTACTTCAAGAGCTTGGTGGCAGTCAGGTCATACCACCCAGAGCTGCATAGCTCTGGGTGGTAAATTCAGGGATTATACATTATTGAGACCATCACATGGATGAATATTTTACATAATTTGTTGCAGCAAACTCTTGACTGTTGGAATCCAGCTCACGGATGGGAGACCTTCCTGGACTGAGGACATTTCCTTACTGAACAGCTTCTTTTTTTTTTTTTTATCTGTCTCTTTCCTCATACTTCTTGCCCTTTACATGAAAGTTTTTTTAAACCTGTGCACATGTTAAAGACACTCGCGGTGGAATCACAGGATGAGACAGGGTCACTGCACCGCAGAGAGGCGGATGGTGAGAACGGCTGCTCTTTTCAGCCACTGGGTGCAGAATGGTACATGCTTGCAGTCAGCGGACCGTGGATAAGCAAAGGAGACTCAGAGCTAAATAATTCATTCCAATGGGAGCCTTCAAAACACATGCACACACAGATAAAGGGTATTCTACTTCTCAAGACTAGCTTCTACTTACACTAGATTACTGTCCACACTTACCCACAGAGAGCAAGTTTCTAATTTTACCCTTGGTTAATATTTATAGATGTGCTGAAGAACCATTGACCTGGAACTATAACAATAGCTTCTTGAATTTCTTGGTCAAGAAATTAATTAAAAGTTTTGGCTTTTATTTTAGCTACATATATTAATCAAGATTTAATTACTAAAAATATAAATTTTATACTATTGGTTTTATTGAACTGGATCCTGATGTAGCCTCATTTTTGCAGTGGATTTCTCTAACCGTTGACTCGAACCTGCATATGTTCACTTTGGTGTTACTAATTATTCATGGGAATTCAGATTAACTTGGAATATCTGTCATGAACCTTTATAAAATCATAGTGTTTGCATAGAAGTTGATTAAATTTGCACTGCCAGTCAGAATAATTGTCCAGCTTAAAAGCAAAGTCAGATAAAAAAGTAAAACTTACTGTAACAGTTTAAGTAAACACAATTGTTCTATTTGGGTACAACTCTGGATTGTGGCTTTTTAAATATCCTGTTCTTAGTTTTCCTTTATTGAGTATATATCTCAACTGTGTATATATCATGATTGTAAATATTCACACAAGGTAAAGATGCATAAAAGAATGTGTGCATTTTCTAATGCAGAGCAACAGAGAAGGCTGCATGGACAAATATACCTATATAAAGTAATTTTCTACATAAAGTATACAAAGTAAATCAAAAGAAATAGTTGTGACTGAAGTTGTTAGGCATTTTATTTTCACAATGTCATATAAAATCCACCTGAAGTGACTTAATGGTGGTAAAATGTTACGGTAAATGTATGTTTGGATCGCATCTACTGAAGCTTTTGTGTATTATTAAAAATCAGTTGGATTTCTCAGCTTTATTGTGAAAAACTGCTTCAGAGGCTCTTTCAGAATGAGGCTTCTCTCTATTTTATCCTTTTTTTTTGCTAGAAGGTGAGAGAGGACGTGTGAGTGCAGAGGCAAGCAGCACTCAAGTCACACTTTCATTAGGAGGAAGCTGTGAAGGATTCAGCAACTCGGACAACAATTGCTGCATCACACACTTTCACCATTTCAGCACCTTAAATGACAGCTGCAGGCACAGAAAAGACCAAAAACCTGAAATGTCACATGTCAAAAAATGTGGAACACCCAAAAACCATGAGAAAATGTTCCAGCAAAACATTTACCTCCATCAACAACAACAAAAGATTTCTTTGGTCAGCCATATAAACAAAATATTTATAGTTATTAAGTTCCACTTTGTGTGATTTAAAAGATTGTAACAGCAAATAATTTGAATTTAAATAAGTTTTAAGTTAAAAGTAATTATTCAAAAAATACTTATATTCAGTAAATTAGAATATGTATCCAAAGAGGCTCAATGTTCAGATTAAAAGTACCTTCAAAATATTTATTTTAGTAAAGTATTATAGATACTTTTAATTACTTCCACATTTCTGTCTTAATGCATTTTTATTGCTCTTAACTGCAAAAACAAAACATTGTTAAAGTGCACACCCAACCATGTTTTCTTTGTTTGGACTTAAAGCTCCAGAACCCGCAGATTTCTGCATCAGTGAAGTACCAAACATACATTCATGGAGAGGCATACATACATTAAGCATGCAGAGATTCAGACATAATTTTGAATATTTTTAATTAATGTCTTTTAAGACTTGAATAAACACACAAACACAGAAAGAGACAATAAATGTACAAACAGTTTGTTTGCAGAAAATAACAAATAAGTCGCTCTCTCCTCTGATCACCAACCAGGGTGTCTAGTTGCAGTCACATCTTCCTCATTTCAGATAATATTTCCTAAATAATTCCTTCAAACCATTTACTCCAATATTTTAAGAATGATGTTATGTGTAAAAGCTTGTTATTCCAGTAGAAATGGACTCAGCAGTATGCCTGTGTGATATGACACAAATGTTACGAGTTCAAATATTCATATATGCAAGTAGAGAAGTAGTATTGTAGGGTTTTGTATGTTGCAGACATGATTGCTGTTCTTCTGAGAGACTGTACTGCTATAATGTCCTATGGGCATTACTTTCCATCAATTATCTTTATTTTTTCAGATCAATCAGATGATATCAGAAGGAAAACCAGTTTGAGGCAGCTGAACTGGGGTGTCATGTTTCAAGTCAATGACAGTCTGTGCTGGTGGAAGAATAGGGAACATTTTCCTGCTAGATTTTTTTGGGTCAGGATTGGAAGATCCCGGTTTAGTACTGAATCTCAGTGATCGTTCAGTGAGTATTTATGAAAATTCTCACTTTCTTACCATTTTGCAGTTCAATATTCATGTGCTCTTGCATTAGTCTGTAATTCTCTGGTACTTGGGCGAATTAAAGTGTAAAATAACTGAGCTGACGCGTTGTTGAGGAATGGGTGATTTTTGGATCAGATTTGAAAAACATCTCCTTAAGCCATCTTATATCTCTTTTGGGAATTTCTCTGGTATAAACGCTTATCTAGGATCATTTTACTGGCACATGTGAAACTACTGACTTAGAGTTTGGCTTTGAAGTATGTGTGAGATTTAAATTTTCTTTGCTCTGCAAACTCCTCTCTCACTTATCAGCAGCTTTTCTTGAAAAGAAAAAAAAAAACTCCTTGAAATAACAAACTGATTAAGATTAAACCCCCAGGCCTGGGAAGACATGGCTGTTTCCTCTTATCAATTAAATGTTTCTGTGAAATCATGCAGCATTTAATTATGGGCGCAACGGAAGCTGAGAAAACAAAAACAGCCCAAAACAGAGGCATAAAAAGGAAACAAGATGCACTGAAAACAGGATTTGATTCCCACATAGCTGTGCAGACGGTATACACTAACTAAAACACCCACACCTATCTGTCCACAGTTAACTAAAAAGGACTGGCAGGTTTGCAGTCAGCGAGAATTTATGTTTTTGAATGATTAGGGACGAAGCAGACGGGACGATCTCTGAGGCAGCCGTCCCCACGGCTCCAAGTGAAGCAGAAAATTGGGATAATTTCATTGTGATAATCAGCCTCCTGTTATCCCTGTCATTCCCACCCAAAGGGAAGGAGAAGCTAGGAGCTCTGGGGAGGAAGAGAGTGAGAAAAAAAAATTGTATTTACATATTTTATTTACAGGAATAACGGAGAAAAACACTAGAAACGAAAAGAAAATGAGTTTTCCATGCCTGGTTATCTACAGAATGCATGTGTTTTAGTGAATCGTATTAGTGAAAGGTCAGCGTTCACCCGCACAAATGTCAGAACAATACTGAGGCACTTTTGTTTTATATGCCCGAGGTTTTCAGTAAATACTGGTGATTTTGTCTAGATATCTTTTTAATGATGCCCAGCTGCAAAATGAGCACACTACTTTCAAACTTCACAGCTCCAGTCTCATGTATGTGGAATTTGGGCTCTCATTAACTGGAGAGTGCGTGTAAATTCGTCCAGCTCTATCAACCTACACCTGCCTAGAAACAGCAAGTGTCAAACAGTAAAGATATCACTTCCCACATTTCTTCATCAGATGTCTTGTTGGCCACACCAACAGTTCAAAAAGCTTTTTCAAAATCTAAGATGAAAAACACAGTTGATAATTTTAATTGATTTGAAACTCTCTTTTTTTCCTCACACACATTGCTTTTTCCATTTCATTACATCACTCACTTCTGTCTGGAGTTTTATGCTCTTTATGCTTTGAGTTTATTAGAGTCGTTTTTGCATAGTTTTTCTTGGTGTGATTTTTATTATTTATTTATTACGTAACCTCTTTACGTTTTCTTTTTAGTGTAGGACCCAAACACAGAATCATTCCAGTTTGTAAATTACTTTCAGAACCAAAGTAACACAAAAAAAAAACACAAAGGTGCTCAAGTGGATTAGAACATAATGATAACATGAGAAAAATCCAGCAAGCAATGGGTAAACGAGACAGTACAGTTTGGAGAGATGATCATTGGAGCAATGAACTGTTGAGTATTAGTAATTAAATGCTCTGCAGATGAAAGAGAGCATAAACTGAAGTACTAATGGAGTAATGGCTAGAAACAATAAAGAAATTATGGGAATGGTGCAAACAATCACAATGGAAATATAACTATACAACAGGAAACGCAGGAATAGAGACATTGTGAAAATAAAACACAGACAAAAAGGAACTTTTACTACCCTATTAGTCTGGTAAACAATCATTATTTATTAAGATTTTCTTTATAAAACATGCTGCTTCTTTTAGTACTCGACGGCAGATTCTTAATCAAAGCTGAACACATAGCTTGATATCATTACAGGTTCTTGCATTTGATTTATTCCGATTTATTCCCTCTACTGTTGCAGCCTCAGAACGATGTCCAGCAAGTCAAAGCAAAGCCAGCCAACTGTAACATTAATCAGACAGGAGTTTGACAAGACCAGTGACAAATGGCACCATAATGGCACTTTAACATCTATGAAATCTAAATAAAATAAAGAAGGCCTAATATTCAACAAAAGACAGTAGGAAGAAAAATGTATTCTGAGAAAGTAAGTCTTGCAGCAAGCTCATTTTCAAATAAAACATCTGAAAAATCTTTTTAGGTCTTGATGACTAGGATCCAACTACATTATTTTTGTGAGAGCAAGACCAGACAGAGGAGAGGTTAACAGAAGGAGCAAGCCAAATTAAAAAGTGGAGAGTACTGGACTGCTAATAGAAATAGAAATAGACTAAACTTTGGTGTGCCTGTTTCTCCAAATGTTGGACAACTAATACAAGGGCTACCTTTTGGAGTACTTAGAAAAAAGGTTGGCCCCTAAGAAAACAAAATATAAGGTTAATAAACCACCACAATAAAAAAACAGAAGGGTAACAACGTTGATCTTTGCTAACAGTGGAGATTCTTGGTTGGAAACCCGAGTGAGCCCCTTCTACACACACACACACCCAAAGACACGCCCACCTATCAGACAAAGAAAAGAGAATAAATTAAAAACAAACTCTAACTTACAAATAAGAATGTCTTGTGCGTGACTGATCTAAATATTTTTATTTTCTGAATTGTTTCTCATTTGAATTGAGAATTGAAATTAACGACTGCATTTCATCTTTCTTATAGTTTCACAAGTAGATGAAGATTTTAAGAATATCCTAATTGTGTATTGAGCAATCATTAGTTCATAACCATCTATCTGACATCTGATGAGTTCAAGTAAATCCATACATGCATTTTCTTTACACCCTTGTCCCCTCAACTGAACTAGAGACAAGTAAAATATATGAAGCCAAAATGGCTTAGAGCACTTAGGAATGCTTGAAACAAACTAAATACACCTTTAATTTAATACCAGATCATAATACAAGTCAGGCTCCAAGTGATGTAGCTGAAGAGATGTAAGATTATCTTGTTTTACAGTACTTTCACTTTGCACACCATACAGGAGTGTTCAGTTTTCAGTTTTCAGTTTGACCCCCAGTCCATAATAGTAAATTGCTGCACAGGCATGTGAACTGATTTCTGCTAAGTTCATAACTTTGTAAATGTTTCTGTCTGAAAAAGCCAAAAGCATTAAGTTGCATGTGTTGTAAACACGTGACTTTTTGTTTTTGCTGAGGTCATCACTGTAACACAGCACATGCAGTCGCTAAAGTTTTCATTTTAAAAAAAAGTCAGAACAAGGCTATAAATATCAATCCTTTACACGCTTTGACTTGTGAACATGTAGAAATCGAACATCGTTTAAAAACCATCTGCTATTTAAAAATAATGTTTTGTTAGATTCTTGTTTGTGTGTGTTTTTTTTAAAGGCTAAAAATATCCTACCCTGTACAGCGCTCCACAAAAGCAAGGAGTCCCTCGGTTTAGAGGACATTTTAAAACTCCACATCTCTGCACCACTCGCCCTCCTCCCTCTTTCCTCCTCCTCCTCCTCGTCCTCCTCCTCCTCCCGATCTAGAAACTTCCCGCTGTGCCGCGTCCTATAACGCAATAAACAGGCACACGCGCAATCGAGCCGGGCCTCTGCCCGCCGGATAGCTGCAGGAGCGCGGTGGTTTTACGCACGCTGCTGATGGGAACCTCTGCGAATCGTTGTCCTCCGCTTACCGGGACATAGTAATAATAGCAACGACAGAGGACCACAAGCGGGACTGGGAAACAGGATGAAGTTGGTGGTCCGCCTCCTCCTGCTTCTCCTGGCGGTGTGTCCTGTGTGCCATGGTGCGGGTGAGGAAACTCTTTATATTTGTGATTGTTTCAGTTTCAGCCAGGTTATTGCCTCATGTAAAAAGAAAATAGTATTTTTCTTTGCGTCGTGGCAAAGATCCTCTGAGAGTGGTGCACTGAAGTTTTCACAATCTCACACGGAAGTGACAATTTTAAAATGAGACATTATGTACAACAAATAACACAGTTTACTTGTAACATCTGTTGTTTTCAAGGCTATCAGAAAGTTGAAAGTGTAACTTTAACCGCATAGGATGCACTGAAATTAATCGTTTTTATTTTAGTTTTTTGCATAAATGGTTCTAAAACTATAATGATGATTATGAAGTAGTTTGGAAGAATACAAAAATGCAACAGAAATAACGGATGCAGCAGAAAAAAGATTTGTTAAAGTTTGCATTGCCCATCTTTACTGCATCCTGCATGTGGTTGGCTTCAAAAGAGCACACTGCACATCAATATGATGACCTCTGTAAAAGTTGTTTGTTCATCAGTTAAACAAGAACACAAGAGTCCTATTTCAGTGTCGGTGCCTCCTGCAACTGCCCTTGAAAGTGCAGCATGTGCTCATGGGAACAAATGCTGCATAGTTTAGACTTCATAGACATTTACCCATAAGTATTATCAGATGACAAAAGTTAGATGTAAGCCGGTGGAAGGTAAAAATGCTCCGTCTTCTCATCAGGATTTCCATTTGCCTCCCTCTGATTTCTCCTGTGTCGGATGTTAGAGCTGTCCAATATCAGTGTTACAGATTCTGTTCCTCCCATTGACCGATATGCTGACTGTCCATTTTCTGGACAGAATTATATTATCCTCATACATTATGCACAGTTCTAAGTGCTTGATATATTCTAACAAACATGTTTACCCGTTATAAAAATTTCTTGAGAAATCATATGTGTAAGCATGTCATTGCAGCTCCGTGTTCTTCACATTTGTGGAGATTTTGTTAAAAGCTCTTTTGTGTCACATTGGGAGCGCATCACGAGGCAAAGCTAATTTGGATTTCTGCAAAGTCTGGACTCAACATGTATCCACCTCTCAAGTTCAGAGGTTTGTAAGACATTGAAAACCCCTTTCTCAAGATGGTTGAAAAAACATATCAATATTTTCTGCGTTTTAGTTTCCTCTGCCAGAAAGTTTGTCTCCTTGGCGGAGATGGAGGACGCTCTGCTTAGGAACCTTTTCCAGGGATATGAGCGGTCGGTCAGGCCCATCCAGCGGGCCAACGATACCATCAAAGTTCGCTTTGGACTCAAGATCTCTCAGCTGGTTGATGTGGTGAGATGACTCCAATGATATGAACACATTATTTGGTTGTATCCTCTTACATTTAAGTAGCTCATTAATTTTTATCTCAGTCTAATCTAAAGTGGGAAAAAGGAACGTTTCTCACACACTGGACGTTTTCCAAATTAATCTTCATGAATGTGAAATAGAGAAAAAAACATTGGTTCATGTCCAATACTGGCTTAAAAATGACCTGTATTGAACATTATCTAACTCCAATTCTTTAATTTAATTTCATGGAATAAATATGATAATTTAACACAGGAAGGTAGTTTTAATTGAAGCAAAAATAGTCACACAAGCATCAAATCAACTTGTTAATGAATATAAAATTTTCTTTAATGATTGAAAGTTACTTTATGTAAGTTGGGGTTTTCACAAAATAGCAAAATTAATATTTCTGAAGTATGTATCAAACTCCATATCTGCAAAGTCCTCTTAAAGGCCTAATCTGGCATCTTAAATTATAAGTCTCAACTAAGTTATTTTTCAACCTTTGCAAGACAAACACTAAATACAAAGCCAGCATTTAATCTGTTCTTTCTACGACAAACTTAGCAGCATTCTAGTTATCTAACATATTAAAAAATACTGTAAAACCAAGCTTATTTTACAAGTGGTATGTTGCTAATAGTCTGTGTTGTGTAAATTATTAATTTGGTTAATTGGACATGATAACAGTTTAAGTCAATATGTTTGGATATTTTAGCTAACTTTAGTAATTAATAATTTGAATAAATAAATTTTTGATTGTGTTACAACAATAGATCATCAAACTTAGACATTTATGGAAAACTGGGGAGACCTGCAGAAATAACTTTCACTTAACGCAACAGAAATCTGGACAGTAAACTCTGTCCTCCATATGTTTCAAAAATCTTTGAGGCTAAAACGAATCCTCAAGCTGCTGTCACGCTTGAGGACAATATGGTGACCACTAAGTTTTTTCATGTCATTGTACTATTGATCAATTTCAATACTCATTAGGGTTGAATAGTACATGTGTATTGGGATGAGTATTGTGTGGATTTAGTATTCGTTTTCTTTATACTTACTTTTTTTTGTCATGCCACATTTTTATATTGAAGGATCAATATTCCAGAAATTAAATGTCTCTATTCCCCGAGTGTCCCCAAGTGGTCAAGTTATTATTTGAGGAATGTAACAGACAGTAAAATTTTCCTATGATGCCAGATTTTCCCACACTACTGAAACAAACTGCAGACACAGAATATTACTTGTAATGGAAAAAATGTAAAGTGATCTTAATTCAAGCAAACATGGCGCAAACATGGCCGTAGTTTGGTGTTAATGCAGCTGCACTTCTGTCTTACCATCAAAGTCAAGTTAAATTAAAACATGAAAATGTTGTTTTCAAAGTGTTTTCAAATTATTATAAGTACTTTTAAAAAGAATGCTAACCACTGCTGGGCTGTAAATCTTACAACCCAGCAGTGCAACATTACTGAAGCAAGGAGAAAATTACTCATTTTAAATAACAGAAATACTTACCTTAAGGACACTCCTCTTTATCAAGAAAATGAATTAAAGGATAAATGAAAACAGTAATTAAAATCTTTGACCTTTAATTTCAACAATAACTCTATCCAAGGCGCTGAATTCAAACAGATCATTGAAGCGCTATATGCTTTTAAAATAAATATTACTTACTGTGGTGTTCTTTAAATATTTTAGCATCTGTCTGTGATAGGTTGAGATGATTTAGGTGTTTCAAAAAAAAAAAAGAAACTGGGAATGCTGATGGAGGAAGCACTCTTCTTTGCTTAAAATATTTATCTAAATCGTTTTAAATAAAGCGTACTATTCTTGGTCTTTGCACTGGAAACAACTATGAGTGAATAAAACCTCTCCAGGCTGTTCTGCTGCTGAACCAGGCTTGGAGCGAGAAATGGCAGGAGAGCCAACAGTAAACACAGCAGCTTTGCTTCACCGTTCATGTCCCCAGAGTCTCCCTGGGCTGCTGCATGGCCCAGTATTAGATTATGGTTCACATCTGGTCTGTGTGATCACCAAAAGATCCAACCCACTTTGACAGCTGAGGCTTGGACTGGATGATATGCTGCAGGTTTGGATACATATCCTTCAAATGCAACACTTATCCCTCCACAGCCTTTCTCCTTCATCTGCCTTTGCAATGTGAAAACAGTTTCCTGATGTCCTTTGTTTACTATTTCCACTGGGTTGGTTTGGTCCACAGCTAATATACTGTAGTTAATTAGGTTCTTTTCCAGAAAGGAAGTGATTTATTTTATGCAACAAAAATAGTTGAACTGGGAACAACAACAAAGTACATAAGTATGTAGAAAAAAATTGTAGCTAGATCAATTAACTAAATATGCACAAATACCCAACACAAATCTATATCCTGAAAGGATATTAAGTTTTATACAAGTCCTTATGACAGTTTTACTATATTAATTCAAAATCCATTATGTTATTTAGATTTATTAAAAATAATATTAGATGTGCATATTAAATTAGACTAATTTTCCAAACTGCAGATCTCCTATATTTTCTTCAGAGCTGTAAAATATTATAAATAATTTCGCCCATCATCTGAATGTGTCACATAAATTAAATAAAATAATCTCTTGTAGCGTTACTTAACTGTTGCTTTTGCTAATTGCAGTTGAAATATCTGGGCTTTTTACATGTTGTGTCTTATTCCACTAGCCCTCTCTTCCTTTGCCTTTCATTTCATTTTTATTGTTTTTATGGTGAATAGACATTTAGATTTTTTGCTTGTTTTTTTTTTCTTTTGATATTTCAGGATGAGAAAAACCAGCTTATGACAACAAACGTTTGGTTGACTCAGGTAAGCCCTGCTGATTTCATCACTGTGAACCCTTGTCTTTTGCAGAAAGTAATTAATTTACCCACCATTTCCCCTCCTGAAATAAACAATCAGTTAACAGAGTTGTCATGTTCTACAACGTTCCTAGAGTCATGATGTATTTTGTGTCTATCTTGACAGGAGTGGATTGATTACAAGCTGCGATGGAGTCCAGATAAATATGGTGGAATCACCTCCATCCGAGTTCCCTCAGAAAATATCTGGCTCCCAGACATTGTCCTATATGAGAAGTATGACGTACAGACATCCCTCACAACATCTCACTGTTCCCTCCATTTGTGCCATCCTGCCTTTAGCCTTCAGCCCCACCTGGTGGTAACTGAATGATACAGCACGTTTACGCAAGCATCAGCAAGTCATATTGTAATTGATTAGTGAAGATGAAAGCCAAATATGGCGCAGAGGATTTGTATAAAAGTAATGCAATAAAAATAAAATCTCATTCCTTCTTATTATTAAGCTTTACCACCACTGCAGCACAGATATCTGCTCCAAGAAGTTAATGAAACTTTTAGTATAAACCTCCTTTGAGTTTAATTCTTGGATTCCATATCAGTATGGAAAGAACACTAAAAATATTTATATGATGCATATTTTATTTCAAATTCACAAACACTTAATGGCACAGAGTGAAACTCATTGTTGAACAGCATGCCATGATTGCATTCAGTTTTCACTTCTCTATTTTAATTTATTACACTGTCGAAAAATGCAATATGATGGAGGTTTAACCACTAACATAACTAAAACATCGTACTGTGATTTTGTTGGAAAAACAAACCATTCCTGATTTTGGCTTTACGTTTCTTCAGCGCTGATGGACGCTTTGAGGGCTCTCTGATGACCAAAGCTATCGTAAAGCACAATGGTGCCATCACCTGGACGCCACCCGCCAGCTACAAGTCTGCCTGCACCATGGACGTCACTTTTTTCCCCTTTGACCGGCAGAACTGCTCCATGAAGTTCGGGTCTTGGACCTATGATGGCAACATGGTGGACCTGGTCCTGATGGACAACCATGTTGATCGGAAAGACTTCTTCGACAATGGGGAGTGGGAGATTCTCAGTGCTACTGGAGCCAAAGGAAACAGGAAGGATGGCTTGTATTCCTACCCATTCATCACCTACTCCTTCATCCTGAAGAGATTGCCGTTGTTCTACACACTCTTTCTCATCATTCCCTGTTTGGGTTTGTCCTTTCTTACTGTCCTTGTGTTTTACCTTCCCTCGGATGAAGGAGAGAAGCTGTCGCTCTCCACCTCCGTCTAGTGTCCCTCACTGTGTTCCTTTTAGTCATAGAGGAGATCATCCCCTCCTCGTCCAAGGTAATCCCTCTCATCGGAGAATATTTGCTCTTCATCATGATCTTCGTCACCCTTTCGATTATCGTCACTGTCTTCGTCATCAATGTACACCACCGCTCCTCAGCCACCTATCACCCAATGTCGCCATGGGTTCGCAGTCTTTTCCTGCAGAAACTGCCCAAACTGCTTTGCATGCGAGGACACACAGACCGGTACCACTACCCGGAACTGGCTCCAGAAAGTCCTGAACTGAAGCCTCGCTCTGGAAGTCGGAGGGGAGGTTGGAAGACGAGCAGCGGAGCATGTGGACAGGCAGCTTCTGATGGGAAGGAAGAAGAAGCCTGGGCCACCATGTTGGAGAAAGCCGTCTACTCGGTGCGGTACATCAGCAGACACATCCGTAAAGAGCACTTCATTCGCGAGGTGCGTATAGGTGTCACTAATTTCACTCTATTGCTTTTCCTGTACTTCATGTCTTATTTTTGTTTATCACAGGTGGTTCAAGATTGGAAGTTTGTTGCCCAGGTGTTAGACCGAATCTTCCTCTGGGCTTTTCTAACTGTCTCAATTCTGGGCACCATCCTCATCTTCACTCCAGCATTGCAGATGTTCCTGAAAATTCCTCCTCCAACTCCAACCGAGGAGCCGCCTCTACACCAGTAAACATCACCATTTCTTTCTCCAGCAGCTTTACTCCAGAATTTATAAAAAGTTACAGCTGAGGAGGAAGAAAAACCCATCAAAGACTATTAAGTCCTCTGACCACATTTGTATATTGTTATATGTATGCTTCAAGTGCACAAAACAACATTTTACAAAGGTTGAGGGAGATTTTTTTTCTTTTGAGTGCAGTTTAGTGCATTTATTTCTTCACAAATTGTAGGTGACATATGCTCACACTTTACGATTCAATGATATTTAATAAACTGGAATCCAGAGAGCAAAACAGAAAAAAAGATATGCATATAGAGTAAAAGCTGGATTTATGCATTTAAATCACTTGCTCAAATCATTTCTGTTTGGATGTTTGTTTTTCTACGTTTACAACCTGCATAACATCTCTTTATCAAGTTGAAACCAGCCAATTAAGATTCCCAGATAATCTAATTCTTAAAGTATCAAAACTCTTGTTTTAACTGTTATTTATGTTCTCTAAAAGTAAGCTAATTTAGAATATAAGTAAGGTTCCCGCAGAGTTCTGTTTTGACTTGCTGCATAATACATTTCACTACAAGTTTTAAATAAGCTGAGTCTTTAGCTGCTGTACTTCATGACATTTTTGGCCCTTTTTCTATTTGATAGATTTGTATCTAATTTGTTTTCAATAAATCGTCAAAGCCTATAAACATAGGTGCTGCAACAAAGAAATCAGAGATGATAATTGGCAACTCCTGAAGAAAATAAATTTTTGTTGCTGATATCGCCACCCAGTGGTAAATCCGAACACAACATACAAATGTTTCCTAAGACAAATTAAACAGGTAAACCAAAATTTAAACACAAGAGCAATGTAAAAAAGAAAGACTACATTTAAGACTTTATTTAAAGAAAACAATAAAAAGATTACTCTGTATTGACATGTGTAATAAAGACATTTTTTTTTAATTCTAATGCCATTTTCATTGCAGTTTTTTGTGTATTTAATTTGTAATTTTTTTTAGAACACTATGGAAAATAAATAAATAAGGACAGGCTTGTTTGCTCGCAAAGTTTTATTAGATGAAAAATAAAATTCATTTTAGATATTTTGGCCACATTTCAGTAAAATGTTGTAAAACTAATTTCCTGTTTAAAAATGTTAAAAAGTATATCTTCAACAAACTAAACTGTAAAGCACTCTCTGCACTATGATCTATAGTAGGATCAAAATCCTTTAAAAAGTTGTGATTATGTGTCCACATCATAAAGTCCCTCTATGGTTGTCTATCTGTGTCGGCCCGTCTGGCTGTCCAGGTGAGCTTGTGCGTTTCGCAGCATCTCCATTAACTGCCTGGTATTTTCACTGCAACACACCCAGATTAGAGAAAGAAAATTAATTAATTTAAAGAATCGTTTAAAATAGGTTGTCACTCTGACTTTATTATGAGCTGCAAATTGAAACAGCTGATCTAAATAAAATATTCTTAGATGATGCTTAAAACTACCAACAAAAACTCGTGAACTTCATTCATTGTTTTCCATAAAAATGTAGCAGAGATGTTTTGACTCACTCTGCCACAGCGGGGTCAAACATCAGGTGGCTCATGTCCATGTAGTATTGAGCTCCGTCTCGAATCGCCGTCCAGTGTTCGTTGGCCTAAAGACCAAAGACATTCAAGTTTGTTTGTACTGCATGTGTAAAAACAACTGTGGCCAAATTGCTGTACTTACAAGTAGAAGTACAGTTTTAATGTCTGTAGTAATTGAGCAGGAGACGTTTGGAGTTGCTTTGACTGAATTTTGTACCATCGACTCTGCAGAGTGTTACCTGTTCCTGGATGGTGAAACCCCACATGTTCTGGGAGTGGTGTGGATCCCAGTATCCCACCTGTCTCTTCAACCTGATGAACTTCTTAGCTGCTTCTTCATTAATAAACGGAGCAGCGAACACCCCTGAAAGCAAAAGCAGATTACTGCTCTTGAAATAAAAGAGGGTGAACATATTGCCAATAAAAAGCAGTAAATGACTAGAAATATGTTTGATTTTCTTTGACGTATCTGTTCGTAACATTAAACAAATCAAAGTTGTTCTGCACCAAGCACTAAAGTAGGTTTCCTAGAGAATGCAAAGATTATAAAATGTGTGTTGATCTCAATTTCAATGTGTAACTAGAATTTTAAGCAGCAGATAAACAAAAAGTAATGTAGAAATTTGTAGTGGAATCAGAACAATACATGGATTCAAAATAATATTTCACAAATAAAAATGGAAAAAAATCAAAAATAAAAGAGTGGCTTGCATTTGTTGTCATCTCCTTTCCTTTAATGTCCCTCAGTAAAATCAAGTAAAGTAGAAGAAGTCACCATCTGTGGCAATATTTGATATGGACAATATGGTCAGCTGCCAATGCAGCATTAGGAAAGGGAGTAAGCGAGAAACAGATTAAAACATATTGCTGGCAGTTGTGCCTTGTTGTTTTAATGCATGAGCAGACAATGGGGAGTATTGCTTTATGGTTTAACAAATTGCTTTAAGGCAACGCTCCCAGCTGCTGAGAACAGGACGAGTAACCTTAATGCTTTAAGGCGCCGCAGCTACAAATTATGTTGACGCAGAATTGAATTTTTGCATTTTAATTGTTGGGGGCGAAAGAAAGGGCACACGAAACGCATGATTCACGATAAGTGACCTAATTAATTAAAACTGTCCATCCTTATAACTTTCAGTAAAACCCAGCTGTTGATTAAAAGCGCTTGACATTGATAAGATAATTTTAGTCAACAAATAGAACTTAGGATAAAGTTTTGGGCAAATTTAAAGCAGGGTTGGTTATGAAACAACTTCTCAATCTTTCTTTATGTGCAAAGCCAGCAGCTGCAAATGAAGCAAAAAGTGGATCCACATAGTGTTATGCTTTTCATAATTATTTGTTAAAACTAAATTTGAAACCCATGTATTGAATTTCTTCCACTTTATAAGATTGTGCTACTGAAGTTTGGTCAACCATACACAATAAATTCCAATAAAATCTCTGCGTGCTGCTGCCAGTCATCGCCAGGATTCTCTCGCAAAAGAGATTTCTAATCGCAATGGAAGTTTCCTGGTGAAACAGAAAAAAAAATAAATGTGGCTGAATATAATTTGCAAACGCTAAAGGTGCAGAAATACTAAATGTTGCATGAATCTAAAGTCTTTCAGAGCTGAATTGCTCAATAACAGTTTGAGTGTGTTAAAATGAAGTTTGAGCTCTAAAGCTCAAGCTCTATGCAACTTTATTACATAAAATCAACAAAGAAAAAAAAAAATCCCTTACCGCTTAAAATCGACAGCAGGATCACATACTTCATGACTAATAAATACGAAATACAAATCACAGCAGAACAAAAATAAACAAAATTTCACAAATATTTCTGACTTTCCAAACAAACAGTCTAGAACGTGGCAGAGAGGGAGTTTTACCTGCAGGCTGAGTATGAAGCTGGCAGCTGACTGTCTGCTCTCTGAGCTAAGAGTTTCTCAGCATGTGGGAGGAAACAAGAGTTTCTGTCACTAATTTTTAGCAGGAATGAGAGAGGAATGAAAGGACTCAAGCATCAGGTACAGTTTCTCACCCAAAGTCAGCACTCATATCTTGCCAGAGTTTGCTCAGGCCTTGCAGGCAGAGACACAAATAAACACTTTGGAGCCGTACGGGAACAAGTCAGGCTGTGAGATTCAGCAGAAAGGTGTTGCTGGCAAACTCACATTTTCAGCACTTTCCACTTTTTACAAAAGGATCCCATTAATCAAGTGTTTTTTTAAATATTTTTTTATTTTGCATTTGTGCAAAAAATCTGCTCTGCTCACAGCTCACAAATATGTGCATGTACATCACAGTGTATTTGGTTAGTTTCTCCAAAAACAGCAGTCAACATTTTCAACCTTGTGAAACTTGCTTTTATGAACTGCTACTCAGTGTTGAACCAAAGGCGTAAATTGCAGGGGATTTAGGGGTCTGGACTGAGAACTTATTTGTTCTCAGCCATCCAGAACGTGGCAAAAGAAAAAAAAAGACTTGAAAATAAAGCAACTTAACAAGTTCTAATTTAAAAAGGCCACAGCTTGTATTGGGAACCATTTCAATAAATCAATGTTTATGAGAAATTTTATTAAGAGGAGTTACTCATTAAAGCTTTCATATTTAGAACCTTACATTTTTGTAAAGGCATAGCAGAGATTAGATCAGTCAGGCTGAACAAAACTCTTATCTAAGCAACATTTGAATTTTAGTTTTACTTCACTGAATGCTGCTTACTGAGAATAAAATATGTTTGATGTGCATTACAAGTCATTTTTGACTTACATTTCAATGCAACCTCATTGACACCCCCAAAATTACTCTTAAGAAATTTTCCTGTTCATGGTCCCCCCCATAATGAGATGGTGTTGAACAGAAGTTCATTCATGCTGGTCTCTTGTGTGCACTTCCCTCATGTCTCCACTAGTTGGGGTAATTGTCAAGCTTAACATGACGGTAACAACCTCTTTGCAGGAATTTGGTCAGTTTCATCTGGAGAGATAAAAGTGAAACCACGGGATGGAGTAAAACACACCTGACTTCTCTTAACTCAGATTTATCAAAGTAGAGCCATGACAATATTATGTTTTGGATACATTATCAGCGAAAATGTTGTGTAAGTCTGAAAAAGTGGTTCAGTTTTTGTTTACCACTTGCCCCCAAATCTCATTTCTAACTCATTTAATCTCCGTATAGTTGGTCATAATGCTTTAATTTTAACATTGCTGTTGCAAATTTGCTTCAATCACCATCCAGGATTTTTTTGTGGATTTTTAGTTAAAGCTAAAACGTCTGAACCTTTGGGTGAATATGAATATTTCTTTTATTTCAAGGTACATTTACGGTAAATTATATATATATATATATATATATATATATATATATATATTTTTTTTTTTTTTTTTTTTTTTTACTGTGTTTGTCCATTTCAGATGTTACAGCCTGAGCAGGGGCTGGCCCAACCTTCCATTATTAATCTTGTTCCTGTTTCTCTGTTCATATTGGCCTGCTCCATAATGATACGGTCGAATGAAGTGCAGGTGCCAATTTGCTATAAAAATTTAAGACGCTCAGGATTGATGTCTGAGCCTAAAAAAATGCAAAACAATAAAATTCACCAGAAGAACCTGGAACTGGTGGCTGATACTGTTTTTTGTTCACCTGTTTGACCATTTTGCTACACTAAATCACAGTATGTTTATGATTGTAATATGCTGCTAAACTGCACAATGTAGGCTTAACACATGAAGGGGGAATGTAAAAGTTGTGTTCAAATCAAAGACCAAGACTTAAGATAAATATCTTAAGTCTCAGGAGATCTTAGCAATACATCTTGTTGAGCTAAAGCTCCAAAGACTTTAAAGAACGAGCCAAAGATTTCATGTGAATCATTTGCATCATGTTATATTTGCAGCATTTTGAAATTACTGTTGCAGCTGCATAAACACAGCTATAGGAAAACTGAAGAGACTGTTAGAGTTAATTCACACTTGTAACAGAGGACAGAGCAAAACTGAATATTAAATCAAGCTAAATAGGAACTTAAGCAAGACTAACTGTGCATATAATGACCTGGGGTGGTGTAAGATTTACAAGAGTTGTTCTTTGAAGATTACCAATTCTTTTAATCCACCCACACAGTCACTAAACTCTCAGATCTCTTTCTGCAGATCTGCTTGTGTTTTCCAAACTGTCTGACTGTGTCACTTTCCCCACCTGTAATGGCATCGCTGACCTTTTCCACAGTTAATTTTAAAGTATGTGTGAGAGATTTGACCTTTCACTGACATTCCATTAAAAAAAACAGAGTCAGTACCTGCACAGACTAACAAATTTGCAGACTTGCAGTGAGAGGACACAGGAGACGCCGTCCCTGGAAGACCAATGTGCCAATCTCAGGCTTTTGGGTAACATCATTGTTGTGATGAGGCATCGTTTCCAGGAAGATGGAACCAGTGCCATAATGAATAGGATGAAATCTACTTTGTACAGATATTAACTGGATGAAAGGGTTTAAAAATACAAAAGCATTACAACCTCTATTGTTTGCATGTAAAAAAAGATTTACACATCTGATGTAAAATAACAAACATTTCTCAATTTATAAATTAAATAAATGAATGTGTCTGAAGATTTCCTTAATAATAATCAATGTTTTCCTGTTACTCAATTATAAATATGATGTGACACATAAGAACTATTAGCCACACTTTAAAATAGGACGGAAAATGAAAAAAGGACTAAAGTGAGAAAGGTGCATGTTGATCTTCAAAATCAGTGCCCAACTCAGACTTTTTATAAACAGATTATTTTTGGGCTTCTGTAAATATTTATCAGAGTGACGAATAACTCATTAGCCTGGTAATGTGACAGAACATATTTCAATGTAAATATTGTGAATATTAAAAAAAATTAATACATAACTAACTAGACTAAATTAAATAACTTTTTTTCTCATTTGGTTAGACCAGTTTGCCAAAGTTAACCCATAAGGTTGCACTAATTTGATGTGGCTGCAGTAGGAAGGAGAACTACATCACTTGTGAAATCTTCACTTGGATTTGATGGTAGTAAAGCCATTTTCTGCTTTTTGTTTGTTTGTTTGTTTTGTTTTTTCCACTTTACTGCCAAAAAAATGTCAAATATGTACATGTTTCAGGAAATGTTACATGCAAACAGAGAAATGCACAAACACACACTGGTGTCTTTCACACACCAAAGGTAGCAACTCAAACTAGAACTCAAACTCTTCTGACCTCATTCTATCAAACACCTGCACACATATGCATCCTGCTGGGACGGGTGTATTTTTTTAAAACAAATATTTAATTTAGAAACATGGAGAGATATGATTGGGTCTTTGATAATATGCAGAAAGCTTAAAATAGTTACTCTGTCATCTATTTTTCCGAGGTAAAAATAGAACAAACATATAGGGTAACCTCTGCTGTTTGCTTTTACAGCACTTCTTGCACACATTCTCACAGTAACATGATGAACACATACATCTGTCAATCATTGCAACTACGTGTTTTTTATGGTTTGAAAAACAACATACAAAAAGAAGAACATTAACTGAAAACTTTACTTATAAGGGGCATCAAGAGTGAGTTTTCTTTATTTATCTTTTAATAATCCTGCCTTTGACCTGCTTTACTGCAACAAAATGAATAAGCTGGTCATCTAAAACTTGGAGGACCAAGATGCATCATTACATTCAGACAGTATAAACAGTGTATCACTTTTTCAACATAGCTTATTCCAAATTGTTCTAAATTTGTCTTTCCACAAAAATTCTACAAATATCTCATCACAGCAATGGGTAAATTGGTTTTTGAAATATTTACAAATTTATTAAAAATGGAAGCCAAGAAATCACATTTGTGGAAGTCTTCACAGCCTTTGCAATG